AAAAACTACCACTCGGATACAGATCAAATGGATTTTGATCACAATATTTTTCAATCAAATGTCAAAATCCTTGATTATTGAGAAATTAATGTTGACAATATTTTTTTAGTCATTAATAAAAGATGTTTCTCTTATCAAAATACCTATAGTCTCTTAAGATCATTTAAGAGGTTGTTATCTGACTTTTCTAAAAAAATTAGCTGGATAAAATAATAATAATAATAATATAATAAAAGATAAACAAATAAGCTGTTTTTTAGATTTCTGAAATTTTTTTTATTAACTACTTTTTTTCCATTACCAAAACTCATATTTTTTCATATAGTACTTATTAAATAATAACATTTTTTATAATATGTTAAAATTCTTTAAGTTATTATTATTTATAATGCATAAAAAATTATTATTATTACTTGTCATGAGTTTGCTTTAGCAAGTTGTGAAATTCAACAAGGCCATAATCATCATTATCTATTGAGAAATAATAGCTTAGTACTTTGATTAAAGTAATTGGTCTGTTCTATAGAATAATATAATATAAAGAATTCTAATTTATTATAAAAAATATTATTATTTTCATTATATAAAGGATAATTTTAATAGAACAAAATTATTGTTTTTTGGAAGTGCTTATTTTTGGAAATAAATAATTATTTTGGGTGTTTATTTTTGAAAATAAGTTAATCATATGATTTAATTATATAATTTAATAATTGTTTTAATAAATAATTTAATAATATTATTTATTTTTTTATTTAAAATATAAAAGTTTCAATAAACTTTTATAATTATAATAACTAATTAAGCTATATTTGTAATATACCAATCCAAAAAAAATTTTTTTATTAAAAATATAATAAATAAAAAAAATTATAAGAAAAAATCATTAAAAATTATAAAATATAATACATATATATTATATTAATTATATAAATTGAAATGATATCAATATTTCAAATATATTACTATACGAATTGTATCAGTAGAAAAACAAGCTCTATATTGAGTAATTAAATTACTTGTGCTTGAAAAAAATTTTTCTGTAGGTATATTTGTTGCTAAAATTGCTAAATAATCTTTTGTTATTTTATTTAAATACAAATATTTATCTAAATATCACTATTAATTATGGGACATTTCCCTTAATCAAGACTCAAAATATTATTTTTATAATACAATTCATATTGTGTGTAACATCAATGGGAGGGAAATGTCCTTTAACTGCTATAATAAAATTTATTAATATTTAATATATAAAAAATACAATAAATAAAATAATTTACCTTCTACCAATTTAATGGATTAGTAAGTGCCAAAGCTTGTTCAGCTTTTAAAAATATTTTAATTTCATTTGTAATAAAATTTGATCATTTAGAAATATGTAATATTAAATCTTCATCCTCAGAATTATAATTTATCATTATATTTTCAATTTCTTTAGGCACATATTTTTTATAATAAATTTTTAATACCTATAAAATAAATAATTTAAATAAATAAATTTCTAAATTATATATAAAAATATTATATATACTTTTGTTTTTGCATAATCAATCCATTTTTATTTCTATTTATAATCTTTTATATATTGTAATTTAAGTAGTTAATTCAAGTTAATTTTAAATAAAATAATTATATTAAAATAATTGTGTCAAATTAATTATATTAAATAATTGTATCAAATTATTGTGTCAAAATAATTGTATCAAATAATTGTGTCAAAATAATTGCATCAACTATAAAAAAATATGATTTAACTCAATTGTTAAATTCTTTATTTTTAATTGTGTTTGACTTAATTTAATAATTTTTATCACATATATAAATTAGACTATTGGTTATAAAAATATTAATTTTAAATTATTAAAATTATATATAATATCTTATATTTTTAGTTGTTTATAATTGATATATTTGTAACAAATAATTCAATTTAAATAAAAATTTTATCATTAGATTCCTTTTATTGAGAGCTTTTGAATAGTAAAATTTTTGTTCAAATTGAATTACTGGTTATTGAAATATTAATTGTAAACAATTAAAAATAATATATATATATATATTTATAAATTAAATTTATTAACCAATCAAAAATTGGATCAATATTTCAGTATTGCATTACAATTGCAACATTTTGACATAATTGCAGAAAATTATATGATTGTATCATAATTAAAAATAATTGTGGCAAAATTATATAATTGTATCATATTAAAATAATTGTGGCAAATTATATAATTGTATTACAATTGCATCAAATTATATAATTGTAGCAAAATCATATAATTGTGTTATATTAAAATAATTGTGACACAATTGTGGCATTGTATCACAATTGTATTAATTGCATCAACTATAAAAAAAAATTGTTTAACTTAATTACTAAATTCTTGATTTTTAATTGTGCCTAACTCAATTCAATAATTTCTGTCACATGTATAATTAGAACTATAAGACAAAAATTTTAAGAAATTTGATATAATAAGATTCAATTAATAAATTTAATATAACAGATTAAATTTGCTATAAATATTTCTATACTTATTTTTAATATAGCAAGTTTTTACTTAATTCTTTGATATAATAAAATTTGACTGTATAAATAAATAATTAATTGAAATAAGATTAATTAATCTTAAGAATTCTAATAATTTAATTTGATTTTCGATTTTTAGATTTATATTAAATTTAATATATGGATTATAATTCATTATTATTTTTAATAGTGCTTTAAATCTTATATGAAACTATAATTAATCTTTAATAATTTTATTTTGAATATTTGATAAAACTATTATTTCATCATTATGTAAAAAGAATAACCATAAGACTACTTAATTGTTTTATTCAATTTTTAAATTTTCAAAACAAAAAATTATGAACAGTTTACTTTTATCAAAAAATTAACATAAAATAATCATGTCATATTGATATTTAGGTCATCAATATAAGCAAGACCATCAACTCTTATTTATATTTTTTTAACTACATGATTATACAGATCTAAATTACAATCCAAAATTAAAATATTATATCTTTTTTTTATAACAATACCTATGAAACACATATATATGATTAATAATTTAATTAATAACTAGTAATTGTTTATTTTTTTTTTATTTATTTAAGTTTTCAAAAATTTACATATGTTAATTTTATTTTTAATGGACTAGAATTAATTTACTTTGTAAAGATTCTTAATATATTGATAACAAACAAAATTTAATAAAAATCTTGTATTTAATGCTTATTAAAAAAAAAAAAAAGATTAACTAATCTTTTGTATATATTATATATTATTTATATTAATTTTTTTATTAAATAATAATTCTAATAATAATAAAATATAAAAAATCATTAGACTCTTCTTAGTAAAAAGAGATATATAACATTTATAATATCAAAAAATAATTCCTTATAAATAAAAGTTTGATTAATAACTGTTCTGGTTTTAAATAAATAAATATATATATAAAATCAAAAATATTAATTACTTACTAATTGAAAGTTCAAGAGTATTGCAAACTATCAGAATAAATTAATAAATATAATTAAAAAATCAATGATTCATTCAATTGAAAAGTAAAATTGATTCAAAGAATATCAATAAAAAAAAAATCAAAATCAAAATTATTATTGTATATGCAAAAAATTATCAATTTATATACAGTATATCATACACAATATATATTATATTATAACTATTCTTTTATAAACAATGTGTATAAATTTGATCGATTTGCTAATTGTGGCAAGATTGTCTAATTTTTATGCACTGTAAATTGAAAATCAAAAAGTTTTTTTAAACAACTTAAATGGCATAAGCATACACAATGTTGATAATTAATTAGCAAGGAAATCCAATTTTTAAAATATGGCTGCATAACAATCAGTCGAGATTAATATACTAACGAAAAAACTAATCAAATTAGAAATTTCACATCATCCTAACCACCGATTAGTATCATCGGGAGCGATCTTACTTGCAAACATTTCGTAATACAGAAACTCAAAAAATCATACTTTACCGAAATTAATTTATCGAATGTTCATATAGGTTTTCATTATTTTCTCATCTTGATGATCTCCTTTGTTTCTACAGTGTTGCAATTTACCTTTGTAAATTTGATCGTGGAAAATCAATAAGATCTGATTTGATTATTTTTTTTTTACAATTAATCAGACTCGAATAAAAAAATCAATGAAAATTTACATTACCACGTTAAAGTTCCTTGGTCCAATTTATTTCCATTGTGAAACTTAAAATTGGTTGACATCTTGTAGCTATTGAGTAAATAATACTAGTTAGAAAAGATAGTGACGTTCTTAGTTGAAAGCGAATCCTCCTGGTGACATAAATATTATTATACACTTTAATCAAGAAACTGTAGCTTGCTCTAATTAATACTTGTTTGAGCAACCGATGCCTATTCACAATTAATTCCGACTCGTATACAATTTAACACCGAATTTTTTTGTCCCCAAAACAAACCAAGAGTGAGCAAGAAATTCATGATAAAAAAAATTATTATTTTAATTGTTGTTTATTGGTATAGTTGTGCCATTAGTGTTTGTGTTAGAGGAATTACTATTATTGTGCGAAGAGCCTAATTTTCCGTTCGTAATAACTGTTGGAACGACCGTAGGTGATGATGTGGAGGCCGATGACAATGGGTTATCCGTTGGAACGGGTGATGAATTATTATTATTATTGTTGTTGTTGTTGCTGTTATTATCTGACGACTGGGTTAAATCGTTTGCGACAGTAACATTATTGGTAATTGTTGGTGTTCCAATTGTAATATTTGTCGCATTCGGTGTGGATATACCGCTTCCAAGGCCGTACAGAAAACCCCTTAAGTAGAAACATAAGACAAATCATTAATACAATCTAATACAATCTCTCTGTAGCCATCACGAATTAAAAATAAGATGAATCATTTAAATAATCGTACAGATACTTCTGGTCATCAATTTTATCATTGAAAAAGGTCTGACGCATCTTAAAGAAAGTCGTCGCCGTTAAAAGGCTATCACTACCAGCTTGATGTTGGGGACCAATTCGAGTAACCTATTTTAAAAGAAAATTTCAATGGTCTACTCCGCGAAAACGAAGTCGATGTTCTAGACTCAACTAACCTGTAAACCGTCTGCGATATCTTGTAACCCGCCTTTTAAATTTTTGAAACTCTTCATGAGGTATTTTATGTCGTATATACATGGGAAATAAGTCCTTAGTAGATCAAAGAATTCAGATTCCTCAGCCGGAAGAGGAGAACAGGTGAGCACCTTTAGCAGGTAACCAAAATCGTAGCCACTTCAATAATTTTTGAAAAAGTTGGTTAGGAAATACTTGAAGGGAATCAAGTCAACATCTTATGAAGGGATATTTTAAGTTTACCTACCTATGAAATGATATCCATTTTACGTCGTCCAGCAGAACGAAGCCTGAACTGATTAATAATTCCCCGAAATGATCAACATCTATGCCATAATCTTCATGCCTTTTAAAGTCAATGCCAGACTCTGTTAATAGATCGATGGAATCTTGTGCGTACATGTCATCCCTGTTCATTTCAAAAAATCAACTTGACACATTTAGTTCTGCACCATGACTTAGGAGTTCGTTTTTTCTACAAACACTCACGCCAAGTTGAACCTAAAATTAAACTGCCATGTACAAGTGTCCGGAGGAAATGATCCATTTTCGTCTGCAAATGTAATTCCCAATTGGATAATCTTCAACAGGTCCACATTGCACCGAAGTGTTTGATAATGGTAATCCGAGCTTCCTCGAAAATTTCCAATCGGTCTGGCCACCACCCCAGGGAATTCGGTATCCTGTTAACAAGCATTAAAGAAAAAATTTTTGTATATATAAAATTGGAAAAACTTGTTGTACGTTTACATTAGTAAAATATTTACCATTGCAAGGAAGGGATACTGTTCTACCAGGTCACGTAGAACTCCCATTTCTTCCTCTAGGTTTTCCGCCCATACTTCTTTTATATACTTGCTCTCATTACTAGCCGGCATGACCGCTGACGAGTTGTTTGGTTTGAGAATCGCGAGAGGGAAAAAAAAAAGCCAAAAACCAAACCGAAAGGTAGGCAAGATAAACTAACAAATTCTGTGCGATGTGACTTAGTCGAGGTAAGATCTATAGTGAGGTGATAATGTAAAGAAAAAAAAAATCTGGAAAAGCGGGTAAAAAATGAAAGAGAACGCGAAACCCACTGTGAATTCATCGACGAATTTTGATAAGCCCTTTAGTTTATATATGTATTTTTTTCAGTACAATAGTGCACTCTAGTGTAGGACAAAGGGCCCCGCCCTTTTTTTGAAAAGGGGGTACTCATTTATTTAACGTGACTAGCTAACACGCCAATTTACTTTTTCAAGTTTAAGACTAGTCATTCCATGTTTACACCAAGAAAGCCACCATCGACACCTCAAGTAAAGTGTTCTCTATTATACCTTTTTCGAACAGCCTTCCAAAAAACCTCTAGATACATTGACATTTCCTTTTTCCAAAGTCGCGTAATTTACCGAAAGAGTGTTTTCGCCTTGCTTTCCTTGACACTGCTATTCTAAAAGCTAATGAAAATTTTCGTATTCATAACTCTCCAACACAACCAAACACACCAAGTTTTAATGATCCGCCAATTCTTCAACCTGGAGATGTTATAGAGTTTTATGGTCCAGCCTGTAGTGGCAAAACTACAATTTTATACCATACAATTCTTACCACAATTCTTCCACCACGTTGGACTCGATCAAATGAAGCTGATAACGCGTCAATTGATTTGTGCGGTCGTGGAAAAGGCGTCATATTTTTTGATTTAGATGGGAAATTTAAAATTCAGAGGTTGTATTCGATGATTCTGCATTACTTAATACAACGAGTGAGCAATACGGTAAAAGAGAAGAAAGGGCAATATAGGCTTGTGCCGCCTTTACACAAACAAGACGAAAAAATGGACACTTCAAATGTTGGATCAACGAGTGCAACAAGCGACGTGAACCTGGATTGGATCCCATCGGAAGATGAAATCAAAATGATTGCAAAATCAGCTTTACATAAACTTCATATATTTGAACCAACAATATCCGAATCTTTTTACGCAACGTTGTTGACTTTACCCGAATACATGATGGGATGCACTCAGGATGAAGGATATGAATTCTCTTTCCTGATGATAGATTCAATTAACTCGTTTTACTGGCAAGATAAGGTTGAAGAAGGGGATCAGAGCGCAGATGGTGACAAATGGAAACAGAAAAATTCATACTATTATGTTCAAGCATTGAGACAAATTATTCAAGTGACAAAGATAATCGTGGTGGCAACGAATGGTGTGTCAATGAAAACGAACGTCGTCCAGTCACTCCCTTCCGAATTATGCTATACAAACATTGCACCGTTAGCTTGGCAATCTTTTGTCAAATACAGATTCGCTTTAGCCAAGCAACCTTTGCTACAATATCTAATTAGTCCTCAGGAGGCGGTGGACATGGAGGAAATAAAAAGGAAAGAATTTATAAGTCAACCATGGTTCTATGGGAGGTTGGTCACACCAGTTTATAATAATATTCACAATATTGAAGAAATATTTCAATTTCGTATAGGTGAGGGAGGATTATCTGCAAATAATTTGGTTTCCCCTTGAATTCCAAATACGCATTATGAACTAGGTAAATTTGAATAGGTCACGATTAGCATGAACGGTTTTGAACACAGCAGAATCCTTATTTAATTCTGTCCCCATTTCTTATCGCATTTGCAGTGTCTTCAAAAAATTTTTTTATATATGCTGTATAGTTCCATGTACAAATTCGTGAAACAAATGTCACCCCGAATTTTTCATTGCGGTCATCAGATCCCCCCAAAAGATGCCAGAGCTGTCGAAAATTTTCCCGGGATTACGTAAACCGCTCTCGGCCCTTCGCACACCACCATATTTGAATAAAGTTCTCGAAAATGAAAGGTCATTGTGCAGCGGTTCTTATCCAATATTGCCCTGGTACCCATTATTACATACATTTTTTTAATTTTATCGTTATCTTTGTCTAAGTGGAACATAATACGTAAAAAATGCAGTCTGCTTAAAACACCGTCATTTATAATTTTATAAAGACATAGTATAAAATTATGTCTTTACACGTTCAAGAAGTTCATTTAAAATAAATAAATTCGTAAAATTTTCCCATAATCAATACGGTCGGGTAACACGAAAAATTAGGCAATTTTTGCAAATTTGCAGAAATAACTTAAATAAAAAGTATACATTTATATATAGTAATAAATAATATACTAATGTGTATATACAGTAGTAAATATATACAGTATTATAAAAGTAATATTATTTATTTATTATTATCAGACTTAAATAAAAGAAATTCATTTAACAATGTACAATTTGTATTACATAAAATAAAGTTGGGATAAATGATGTGAATTTCCTACTAAAGTAATCTGTAGCAAAAAGAAAGCATTAAATATTATGTACTACGCATAAGCGCGTGACTCGTAATTTCTATTTGATTATGAAAAACGGAAGTCACTTTTTGGGATGACATACAAAGCATGCTTCAAGAAAAACTTCCCGATAACATGTATGTTGGTTTGGAGGTTCCTAGTAAACCTTCACCCAATTGGACACGGTTCGTTTGCGTCAGCGATACACATAATACGGTCAATTCAGAAAACTTTCACTTACCCGACGGCGATATTCTACGTGAGTAGGTGATATAACTAGCTTAAATTGTAGGAACCGCTAATAACTTAATACAATTAGTTCACGCTGGAGACCTGACCAAGAATGGTGCACTAAGTCAAATAGAATCAGCCGTTGACTGGCTCAAGGGCCTTCCACACGGGTGAGGAATGAAAACCTCATTCAAATTTTATTAGAACAAATTTTTATACCACTCTCTTTGTTAGTCGTAAAATAGTTATCGCAGGAAATCATGACACATGGTAAATTCTTGAATTCTTTATTTTATATAATTATCATTAGCCTTCAAAACCCATTTTCAAGTTTTTTTACTTCTTAATAAGCTTAGATGAACCATTTTATCAGCATAATTGGCGGCGCTTCCATACTCAAAATCAAGATTCGGTTAAAGCACTCGAAGTAATTAGAAATGCTGGTTGTGGAATTGTATATTTAGAAGATGAGTCATTTACAATTCCAGAGAACGGCTATAATGTATATGGAAGTCCGTATTCACCAGAGTTTTTTAACTGGGCATTTAATGGAGACAGAGGTGATTTTTTGAAAGGTAATTTGGAATTCCGAATGCTTATGAACAGTGTTGAATCTTAAATACTAGAATTTCGATCATTCATAAATTAGAAAAATGGTCAAGAATACCATCCACCACACATATTCTCATGACACACGGACCACCAGTAAACATATTAGATAGAGTTCGGAACGAAAATGTAGGATGTGTAGATTTGTGGGAAAGAGTTAAAGAAATCAAACCTTTATTCCATGTGTTCGGTCACATACACGAAAGTTATGGTGTGGTTGAAAAGAGATGGGAGAACGGTCACGAAAACAATGCGAAATCAACTGTATTCATAAATGCATCATCATGTTCATATGAATATAAACCAGTGCACAAACCTATTGTGTTTGATCTACCTCCATTGGATTCTTCTGAATAAATGTAAGAACATTGGTTATAATGAAATTTATGTAAAATATTATTATTATTAAAATTTTTCATTTTACTATAAAGTGATTTTTATTTAATTGATTTGAATTTGAATTTCAAAAACGAAAATAAATATTAATAATAACAATAAATAATGACAATTCAATACAATATACAGTATATAAATTATTTCCAAAAAACTTTTTTCTAATTAATAATTAATAATAACCAAACAACTAAAGTTAATAAATAATAGGTTAATAAAAACATTGATTAATGTAACGTTATTATTTTCTTTAAAAGTTTAATTGATTTAAAATAATATGTAATAAATTTAAATTATTGATGAAAGATAATTTAATAAATTTGTTATACAGTATAATAATATAGTATATATAAGGATTTTAATAATTTGATTTAATTTGATTCTTGATTTTCAGGTTTATATTAAATTTAATATATGGATTATAATCTATAATTATTTTTAATAGTGTTTCAAATCTCATACAAGTCTATGCAAATCTGTTTGATTTCAATTTTTGGAATTATACTAATTAATATTATTTCCAATACTATTGGTTTTTTCTTTATAATTCAACTATTCTAATTAATTAGCTTATATTCAAAAAATAACTTGTATTAAATAAAACTTATATAAAATAGAAAAAGTCCTATCACTAGTTTAAACTTACCATCCTATTGATCTAATCATATTTTTCAATTATCTGCTAAAAAAAGATTATATGAAATATTATTATAAAGATTAATATTAGTATTTCAATTATTATTATTACTAAACCTTAAAATATACCATTAGTATAATATTATATTACTGTTTTTATTATTTGTAAAACTAATATTTTTGCTTGAATTTTAATTTAATCTTGAAGCTCTTACTAGGTTCACTTGGTTTTAATAATTTTTACTTAGATTGTTATTATTTGTAACAAATAATTTTTGCTTTTTTGATTTATTTAAGTTCAGAAGAATACTATTCTTGAAATAGATTTTCAAGTTTCAAATTAAAATAGATTAGCTTAAAGTTATTTTTTTTGAAAATATATAGAGTCTGCCATGTTAAAAAAGGAATATAGACTTTTGTAAAAGTTAAATCAAAAGTTTTTTCTTATGCTATTTTCTATATTTTGATCTGTTTTTAGTTTATAATTGTTAAAAAAATTAACAGTTCTATTTTTATATAACTTAATTAAGTTTAATTATATTTTTTTTAAGAATTATTAAATATAATATATATAAAATATTTAGTAAACTTATATATAAAGGTAAATATATTTTTGCTTCTTATAAATATTAAATTAAGAATATATATTTGAAAATTTGAAATTATTATTCACTATACTATTGATTCATAGGTTTTTAAATATTGTTTTTTATAAAAAGCCAATTTATATATTAATTTGATAAACTGTAAAAATTATAAAGAAATTTTTAGACCTGTGGGTCCATAGTGCAGTGGTTAGCACTTTACAGGTCAGATCACAAAATGCTGGTTCAATCCCAGATGAAGGTGATTAAACAATTTCATATGATATGTGCTGTTTCTCATATGAAGCCGTTTCACATGTTGATCCAGCAGGCGTTGAGATTGTATTCTCCAGAAAAGGTATTGTGTAGTATTAATTGTCTGGTTGATATTACGATAATCGACATTGCGCTTAGTGCATTTCCCAGTTTCACATTGGTCGCTTCCTCCCCTATAGTCCACAAGACTATAAAAGAAAAACCTGTTAACTCTATTAGGCAACTAACAATCACTTTCATGTTGAAATCTTACAGGGCATACTTAGAGATTCATGGCCACTTTACAGGAGTTGCGCCCTGCTTAATATTCGTACCTCTAGATTTGGCAGCCTAAGCCAACTATGAGATCTATCAAAGTGTCTACTGGAAGAGTAAGGAGTAATCCTTAAGGAATTGTGCTCCACTTGGCCAACAACCAAGCCCCCAGATTTGGTAGTATGTGTCAACCATAAAAAAACTTTTGAAGTATTTACTAAGAAGTGTAAATAAGTAAGTTCTATGATATCAGGCATGTGTGTTGTCAGGTTGAGTGATAGGAGACCCTAGTGATAGCTAACAGGTAAAAAATACAAAACAAAAAGCTCTCTGAAATTTACGCTCAGGTATGAACCCATCTCCATAGTGTAAGTTGGTACTTGAGTTAGAATAAGGGTGGTGTATTAGTTAAACATAGACTGTTTATCATCAGGAAATTTTTTAGCAAAGATCTCCGAAGATTTTCGGGCGTAGACCTCCGGAGCAAAGGTTACTATATTAAACTCCGGAGATCTTCGATTTATTTTAATAATAATAAAATATATTTATATACATATATTATAATCTATTAATATTCAATTTTTAATGTTTATTTTATTGACTTTTAAAATTATTTATTATTACATAAT